AAGAGAGAGAAAATACATATTGTTTTAAAATCTGCTGTTCTCCCAGGATCAGAAATGTCATCAGACAGTATACATCAGACATAAGATTGAACAGCTAGTCCCTCCTTTTCTTTGAATCTTTGAATCCTGGCTTCCTGGAGTTCTAAAGATTACAAAGGGACAAAGTTTTCTGAACTCTCACTTTTATTAGCCCATGGTGAAATTATTGACTCAGTAACTCTTTAATTTTACACTAGTTGTTTAATGCCAAACTGAGACTACAAGATACATAATAATTCTCAGCACAGGTTGTTTAATGTCATTGAATTAAAATACTTTTCAGTGCAGAGTTCACAAGTTAGAAAATCAGAGTTGGAGTGTTTACTCTCTCTTTAAAGTGGAAATTTGGGTGAATCCTTTTTATTCTGATTTTCGTTTTCCTCATGTGTAAAATAGGCAAAAAATACCTGTTTCATTGGTTGATTATAAAATTCAAATAATAAGATATTCACAAAAGTGCTTCATAAACTTGACAGAGTGCTACAAATAAACACAATTATTCTTTTTGAATTAAGGATAGTAATTTATTTTCTTTTAAAAAAGCAGTTTAAAATTCAAGGCACTTGATTAAAAAATCTAATAGTGGTTTCACAGAAGACTTTTTAAATTAGGTTCTCTTATGTCTTATAATGTGGCCTTTTGATTTTATTACATTTGGTGCTGATCAAATCTATTATGTCTTGTGTGTGGAATCTGCGCATGGTGGTCTTTCCAGACTGAGGTATTTTTGAAGTACTTTGTTCCCCATTCTCCACCCTAAGCTCTCATATCTAGTGACTGCTTATTAGCCTTGCTTCTCTGCAGCTACAGAAGCTATGGAGGGAGGCTCTTGTCTCTCAGGACCTGCTTCTGACTTCCTCTAGATTGACTCTTCCTGCTGTAGGACTGAGCACAGTTCATCATCAGCAACGTAGAAGACTAAGCAACATTGGAGGTCCTGTACTGGGCTCTATATATGCATGGCTGCCAAGATGGGGACTTGTTTCCCTCCAGGCTGCTGTCATATGGGCACTCATTCCTTCTTTTCTGAAATTATAATTGGCATGTGTGATGTGTCAGGTGTCCCAGGTTCAAATTCCAGTCCTACCCTTTATCAACTGGGCAGGGAGATATCTGAGTCTTTCAAGGTAACTCAGCCTAAACATTTCTATTACAAAGCAGTTTTTGAAGATTAAGTGAGCTAACAGGGTGGAAAATATCTGGTACAGAAGAGCTTCTAAAATATTTCTTCATTCAATCTTGTGGTGTTGGTTATATGCTTGCTGGATGTAGATGTAGCTATTTTATGAAATTAGGATATTTAAATATTCAAAAAATTTTGAATGTTTATCCAAAATAAATGTTATTGATGTACTCAGTAGGAATGAAGAACCCTCTAGAACTATTGTCCATACCACTTAATGTAGTAGTTTTCATCATTGTTATTTTACGCTTAACTTTTGATACACAGAATTTGCTTTTAGCTTTCATGTTTATTTGGTTCATATGGGTCATTGGGCAGTATATTCAGGAGGTGCTTCTTTTAAATACCCATCCAGTCTTTGCAGGAAATGAGAAGTCATGGTCCCTCACCTGATGATTTTCATCTCGTGCTTACTAGGCCTCATGCTTTTATACCGCCGTTAGCTGGATTGATCAAGATTTATTCATTTCATTTTGCTTTACCTCTACTAAAGAGAAAGCTATTTTGTTTTAGGTGCTGCACTTTATTATTTTTTTATTTTATTTTATTTTATTTTTTTTAATTTTTTGTTTATTACAGTAACATTGGTTTATAACATTGCAAAAATTTCAGGTGTACATCATTGTACTTCTATTTCTGCATGGACTACATCATGTTCACCACCAAAATACTAATTACAACCCATCACCACACACATGTACCGAATTATCCCTTTCACCCTCCTCCCTCCCCTCTTCCCCTCTGGTAACCACCAATCCAATCTCTGTCCCTATGTGTTTGTTTATTGTTGTTATTATCTACTACTTAATGAAGGAAATCATATGGTATTTGGCCTTCTCCCTCTGACTTATTTCACTTTGCATTATACCCTCAATGTCCATCCATGTTGTCACAAATGGCTGGATTTCGTCGTTTCTTATGGCTAAGTAGTATTCCATTGTGTATATATACCACAGCTTCTTTATCCATTCGTCCCTTGATGGGCACTTAGGTTGCTTCCAAGTCTTGGCTATTGTGAATAAGGCTGCAATGAACACATGGGTGCATGTACCTTTGCAAATTGGTGTTTTCAAGTTCTTTGGATAAATACCCAACAGTGGAATAGCTGGATCATATGGTAGTTCTATCCTTGATTTTTTGAGGAATCTCCATACTGTTTTCCATAGTGGCTGCACCAGTTTGCACTCCCACCAGCAGTGTATGAGAGTTCCCTTCTCTCCACATCCTCTCCAACACATGTTGTTTCCTGTCTTGTTAATTAAAGCCATTCTGACGGGCGTGAGGTGATATCTCATTGTAGTTTTGATTTGCATTTCCCTGATAGTTAGTGATTTTGAACATCTTTTCATGTGTCTGTTGGCCATCTGTATATCTTCTTTGGAGAAATGTCTGTTCAGGTAGGTGCTGTACTTTAAACTTTTAGTTAACAAATTTTATATTTTAATTGTTTGTATGTATCTATACAATCAAAGATGAGAATTAGTACCAATTGCCTTACTACGAGAGGAAGACACACAGCTCTCAGAATGCTGACAAATCCCTTTATTCTATATTTTGCATATTTTGTTGAAAACATCTAGAATTTTATAATTTTTTCTTATAAAATAAACAGTAATTTGCTTATAAAATAACTTAATGAAATTGTTTACTTTATAACAATAACTTAATAATTTCTTTAAGCTTTACTCCCACATTATGAATCATAATTTAGACTCAAAAAATTACACTGGTCTTTTGCACAGTATTCTTTTTGTATCACCCATTCTCCCTTTCCTTGGATATATTTTTATTTTGTTGGACTTCTTTTCAAGTAATTATTTCTGAAATGGCTTCAAGATTATAAAATGTGTCAATGTTTACAGGTACAAAAATGTCTGTATTTTAACATTATATTTGAATTCTATTTACCTTGCAGAGAATAGTAACTTTGAAAATTATTTCCTGTTGTATGTTTGAAGACTGTACTCCACTATAGTCTATCATTTGTAAGCATTGTATACAGGAAGCTTTATTTTAAACCATGTCTCATTCTTTATAAATTCCTTTTCCCATCTAAAACTTCTCAGGGTTTTGTTGTTGTGTTTCTTGATGTTCTCAGGTTTCACAAGATTGTGGAAGGTTTTTTTTTTTGTTTTACATTAATCCTACTTAGAACTCGGTGGATCTTTTGGATTTTTCATCAGTTTAGGTAAATTTTCTTCAACATCCTTTGCTTCTTTTTACATTTATTTGTTCTCTCTCCTAGAAACTCCTATTATAAGTCACTAGAACTTATAGAACTAGAACTTTTAGAACTATTGTGCATAAAACTTAACTTTGTTTATGGTTTTCATTGTTATTATTTTGTGTTCTATTCTTGGGGAATCTCTTGTTTTCCCAATATCTTCCAGCTAAGTAAATCAAACTGTAGGTAAATATATGTCTTTACTAAGCATAAGTGTTTATTCTAGAAAATATTTTTGCAATCATATTCTTAATTTCCAAGAACTTTTTCTTTTTTCTAATAACATGTTCTTATGTGGTGAAATTTATTTGATGATATTATACCTATTTTAACGTTTTTCTGTTTTCTCTAAGTTAACTTCTTCAGGGGTTATTTTTATGATTTTTAATTTTAATGTTTGTTATGCTGTTGAATTTCTTCAAATATCTTTAGAGTTTTGTTCATACCCGTGTGTTTCTAACACTTTCACATATTTATAGTATTGAATGCTGGAGCATCTTTCCTCTCCCAACTAAGAACAGGCAAGTAAGCTCTGGTTCTAGGACCCTCATTGGAAATGGATGTGCAAGGCAAGGGATGGGTGCCTGCAACCAAGGGACTATCCACTATTGTGTTTGATTGATTTCTTTCCTTGACTTGGTAGATTGTTATCTTCTGTCTACTTTCTGTTAACCCTGCACCCACTTTGAGAGTAAATGCTGTCAGAACTTGTGAGATATATAAAAGGGCTCTGCCAAGAGAGTTGGAATATGTCTACTCTTCTCTAAGTCAAGACCAGCTGCCTATACCCTTCTGTTTACCCTGCCTCCTCCTTTCTGTCTCTGAATCTGGCTTTCCCTGGATCTTCTTGGAAAAGACATTACGAGAGTGCTTCTTCTGCTCATATGATGATGAATTCTGACACGAAAGATATTCTCCTTCATCCTTTATCGAGAGCATGAATTCCAGCCTTTTGAAAATCTGATAGTTTTCAATCTCACTATTAAAATGTGGCCAACTCTGCAGAAGTGAGGTTTTTTTTTTTTTTTTTTTTGCTGAGGAAGACTGGCCCTGGGCTAACATCTGTGCCCATCTTCCTCTACTTTATATGGGACACCACCACAGCATGGCCTGTCAAGCAGTGCATCGGTGCGTGCCCGGGATCTGAACTGGCGGACCCAGGGCCATCGCAGTGGAGCGCGTGCACCCAAACGCTTGCGCCACCGGGCTGGCCTTGAGAGCTATTTTTTTAGTTGGAATTTTCTCTGAAAACTTAGACCTTTATCAATATCAAGATGACTGTTTTTGTTTAGTGCACCTGTAGGCCAAAGTGCACAAAAGATAAAACAATATTTATTCAAAAGTTCAAAGACTTAGTGCAGATTTGGTGATCAGCTTGCACATGGTATTTATAAAACCTTTGGATTCTAAGATTTCCATTGCATTTACACAATGGATGTCTTCACAGTCCTGTCGATTTGTCTGTCTTGTTTGATTCTCCTTTTTCTGTGGAATCGAAGCTACACCAAAGGGAAGCTGCCACCTGGCCCCACTCCTCTCCCAATCGTTGGAAACATTTTTCAGATAAATACTAATAACATCAGCAAATCTCTAATCAAGGTAAGTATGGTTAATTTTCTTCTAATTTTTTGCAGTAAGTAAATAAGACAGCTCTATATGGAAATATGATATAGTCCCAGACACCATGTTGTAAAGTGGTTTTAAGGGAAATGTCCACTGGACACCCAGACACAATTTTAAATAGTATCCAGCTAGAAGGCTGCCATAGAAAGTGAGATCCATTAAATGGGTGTTAAAATTGCTGAAGAAGGAATTCTCTGTCCATACTGTGACCTGGGTTCCTTTTATAGTATTTATTCTTTGGTGAACTCTAAAGCCAATGAAACGGCTTTCCATTAAGAAAAAGATCTACTGATTTACAGAGTCACAAGGCTAAAATTTTTCTAAAAACATACATTGATTTGAAGTCAAGGCAATGACTAAAGATTCAGGAAATTTCACAGTTTCTATCACAATTTCACCATGAATGAGTGAAGAACTGCTCTACTCCTAGCTATTTTTATAGCAATATCTCTCTAAATCTTGAAGGAATTATCTGAAATCTGTCGTCCCTGAGACAGCTAGTTACCAGAGCACTGCCCTGGAAGCTCCTTCTTCCTGTTTTTTTGGCTCTATATTCAAAGAGCTTGTATCATCATCCCAGCTCATCCACTTGTTAACTCACTTGAAAACTTTGGCAAGTTTTCAAATCTCTCTGAACTTTACTTCTCATTTCTTAAAAATGTGAATAATAATAATTTTGCACAGGTTATTTGAGTATATCACATATTCAACAATTTATTGAATGCTTACTTTGAGATACCAATCCTAGGTTCTTAGGATCTCTGTGTAATAGAAATTGACAACAGGATGAACCAAAGTCTCAGACAAGATTTTACTGGGGCTTATGGTCGAGCACAAGAGAGACAGCAGAGGAGAAGATGTTCTCTGTCTGGATCCCGGAAAAGAGCCATCCTGAGTCTTTTATGGGGTGAGGGGAGCATACTTGTATCATGATTTTCTGCCTCCTGAGTTGTTCTGCTTCCGTCTCCCTGATGGTTTCTGCTGCACATGCCCCATCAGGGTTGCAGTCCCTGCGCCTGCCCTGTAGGTGTAACATGGTGGAGTTGCTCACTACTGGCTCCCTAGGAAGGTGTCTAGTGGTAATCTCAAGGCTTTGCATGCATGCGGGAGTCGGGGTTGACTGCTTGGTGGTAGTTTTGCAGTTGGACGGTAGCTTATCTTGACTCCAAAAATAGCTGCGTTGAGAGGTGCTCTATCTGGTGGTGAAGGGTGAGGGACAGGTCCCATCCCTATTCTGTCTCATTCCCCTTGAGAGATTTTACTCTCCTTATTCTTAAAGGGATAGGGACTGGTGATCTCCTCTTCCGGAGCTACTTCCTGCTGAGTAGCGGTATCGGTTGTTCCATCTCATTGAACCAGTCTCTTAGTAAGACAGTGAGGCAGGTGTGCCTCTAAAGTTAGGCCTATATTGTATAAGGAAGTAACCAGGTATTTAACAACAAAAATAAGGTTAATGTTTGGAGCAAATTATAGACCAGTTTCTGAGCCCAGGGAGCAGCCAGTCAAAGGATGTCTAGATGTCAGAGTTGAAGCATCTTTTGCTATTTGAAGTGTCTCTGATGATGTCATCAGTTGTCCAGGTATCTTTATGAGTGGCTTACACAGCAACAGACATGAATCTCTCTTAAGTTTACATCACATTCTCCAGCTTCCGTTTGCAAGACATCAGGAAAAAGGGCAGGTTCAGTTCTCAATGATTCCAAATGAAAATGTTGGAAAAAATTTAAAATGTTAGTTTGGAGATTTGTAGCCAGATATTTCAGGACACTAGAAGAATTCAGGATCCAGCCCAGTTAACAGATATAAAACAAAATCTCAAAGACAATTATCAGAACTAGAACCTAATATCCACAAATGTGTACTGTAGTATCTATTGAAACATAATTTTTCTCTCTAAAAAAACCCTCATTTTTACCAAAGATAGCCAATGAAGACTCATTGGTTGGCAAAATAAGTTTAGTTTCAATAAATTTGGCCCAATTATTCACATAAGTACAGCAACAATAGCAATGGATTATGTCGGCTCTTTCAAATCTGCTTTGCTGGAACTTTTTATAAGGAATCTCAGATTGAACTTCAAAGGCCTGTTGAGGCCAGGAAAACCAAGTCAAGGTCTTGTCATCAGACTCTGCCTGCAATACCTATAGATTTGGGTCGTTTCCTCTCTTTTCTTGAGGTACTTCCAAATATCCTGAGGTTCCTTGTACCTTCCATTAGGTGACCTGGTAGGTACAAGGAAGTTGTTCATTGAAGTTACTCATATGGCAATGTTGCTGGGACCCTGTAAGCAAAGTACCAGACCAATATTTCTAGGTGGTTTTATTCCATAAATTCAACCGTTATTCCTCAAAAGCTGTCTTGTCATATCTGAGTCTGCATGTTTCTCTCAAGTATGATATTCCAGTCAAAGCTTTGGTAATATGACCAATGTTTCCAATTGTGTCCTGTTATAAGGAGAACAGATTCTTATTGAACTCATGCAGATAACCATATTGCCATGAAAGCAATACTCACTCACTAAGAGTTTCCAAATTCTGGAGGGGTCAGTTAGGGAAAAAAAAGATAAATGTTTCAATTCTGCTTATGAAGGTATAATTTTATCAAATTGGCATAAGTCATAGCTAGTTTAAGGAAAAGAGAAAAAGGTTTCCTTAAATCTGGAAAAAATAAAACATCAAGAAATCAGCAATATCTCAAATAACTCATAAAAATTATAATCATCCTCATCAGTTCATTCAGTCCTGTGTAATCTATTCTTGATTTTAATCTTCTGTTAGCAGTCACATGAAGTCATCAGTTTCTTTGTTAGAGTTTTGTCATTTCTTACCCAGTTCAGTTTTATGATCTTAAAGTTTATTAGAAATCTGTATTCAGGAGTAAGTGTCAGAGTCCTTTCCATGAATCTCTCTGAAGATGAAAAATATTTGCAAAAGCGTGAGAGTAATACAGTAACTATCTGCAAATGACAAAAGACTCCAAAGGGCAATTGTCAAAGAACCTTGGCTATTTCTGTGACATGCAACACTTCAAGATAATAACTAGAAATACGGCTGACAACCAGGAGAGATCAGAAATTTAGGAATGTTATATAATATTTAAAAAAAGAAATAAATAACATTTACCCACATAATATCGTAGGTCTCTATGAAATAGTACTTAGTTATCTATTCAACCACAGTAACAATTAAAGATTTTCAGGCCAATGCATAAAATTAAATAGCTGTAAGAAAAACCTTAGCATCTGTGATTAAAGACCTGATAAAAGCAATACAGGAAATTTATTTTGATAAAACATAAAATCCCTACCCTTCTGGTAGGTTACTCAAAGAAAAAAAGATTTCATAATCTCTTTATAAAGAGCAGACTAAAAGTTCAAGAAAATTATCCTTTTAAAAGAGAGAAAACCAAATTCTAAGTTTGTACAAGCTTACTTTTGACATTAAAACTCATTTACTTAATTAGATTTACTTCAATCTTAACCAACTTGACCATGCATAAAACTCTTTTTAGTTCTCCTCATCCACAAACCTTCAATAACTTTCTTTTTACATTTAGAATTTGTCCCATACCTTCTTTTTTTCCCTTTTAGTGCTTTAGGACAAATTTATCTTTCTTAACAAAACAAACAGAAATATTTCCATTCTTGGGCTGGGCTCCATAGCAAAATGGTTGAGGTTCTGCCCCTTCTGCTTTAGTGGCCTGGGTTCATGGGTTACGATTCTGAGTGCAGACCTACTCCACTCACGAGCCATGCTGTGGTGGTGTCCCACAAACAAAGTAGAGGAGGATGGTCACAGATGTTGGCTCAGGGCCAATCTTCCTCACCCCCCCCAAAAAAAAACCCAGAAAAAACCAAAAATATTTCCATAATTTATACTGTGTTCATTGAAAACATACATCTTACTTTCCTTGAATACAAAGATGTTTTCCTTATTAAATTTTAGTAGCTTTAATCACATATATTAATTAGAATTCTTGACTCTTATAGATCTTTATTTGTAGTGAAAACTAAGAAGTAAGCAACTAAGAATTTTCTTTTACATTAGCATTCTAAATACTTCTCATAATTTCTAGACATATGTTACTTCACAGTACAATCTTTTAATAAAATACAAGACATGTTTACAGATAGACCCAAACATCTTTTAGTTTCTTTGTAATAAGAAACCAAAAGTAGATAAACTTAATCATGTTTATCGATAATATTTCAGTATTTTATCTTATTTGAAAAATGACCCAGATATTCAATGGATATTTGATCATTTAATTTCACCTAGCGAAACTTCAAAGTTTCAAGTTACCAGAGAGATTTTGGAAGTGATAATAAATACAAACGCCTTAACACATAAAAAGTCACCCGACACTTTCATCTTTTTCACATCTATTTAGTTTACTCATTCCCAATAATTATTTAGATTGCCTAAAACTTCATGAGACACTTGACAAATTTGGCTATAATCTTAAGTTATTGTTTTTGCTATCCAGATTTGTAATAGATATAACATCAGCTTATTTGACCAATAAATGTAGAATAAAGACTGCATGTCTGCATGATATCCAATGCTGATGACTGAGGACATGTCCATTTTAATCAAACCAACAATCTTAAATAAAATTTTAGTTACCAAAGATTAATTTATATCATGTTAACTTGAAAGACATTTGGGTGAGTTTCTATTATATTTAAAAATAATTAATATAACTGCTTACATTAAGCCAATTGAATAGAGCTCTTTAGAAATTATACCTTCTGGAGATAAAATATCACACATGTATAACATACATATAGGCACACATACACAGAGACTCCACAGCTATTGTTTTAAAATTACTGCCATGAATCAAGTAGAGTAATTCAAGGCTTCCTGGTTATGAATCCAAATTTTGTTTTAAGCCTTTTTGCTAATAATTGTGGAGAAGACACTCAAGTTGCTGGATTTTTGGCGAGGGTGCACTCATGGCCACTTATCTTTTCTTTTTCATTTTTTTTTCCTTCAGTCCTAGGAATTAGTGATGGGCTAGATAGTCCCTGGAGAGTTTGCAAGCTCTTTGAGATAAGGGAAATGGGTAGAACCTGAATTCTGTCCTTCTCTAGAGAAACAGTGGCTCCTAATTTGGTTAATAAGTCTCTACCTAGCAAAAGGATGGAGCATTCGGGGCCATAGAGGAATGAGTAGGTGATGGCAGTGGACCTGGCCTTGCAAGTAAGGGGGAAAGTTAACTGTTTGCCCTTGGCCATCTGTCTATCCCCGTTACCATGCAGTCACAATTGGAGATGCAGCAGATAGGCTTGGTCAGGACAGAGTAGGTGGCTCCACTGTCCACAAAGAACTCAGTCTTCCTACGTGATCCCAGGCTCCCCTGGGGTGATGGTGATGGAGCAAGTTGATGTTGGAGCCAGGTGGACTCTCCCGCCTCATCAATCATTGAGTGCTTGCCTCTCATTTGAGAGGCTGGCACAGAGGGGAGGTTGACCAAGACAGCCCCTTGGTCGTCCTGCTTGAGGACGATTGGGACATTCCTCTTTCCAGCATCCTTCCCTCCTGCAGTGTGCACATTGGTTCCACCTGAGGCTGCATCTCTCCCTTCAATTGTCTGGTCTTCTGGGCCTCCTGGGGTCACCCTTAGGTGGTTGATGAATCACGGCAACCAAAAGCTGTGTTTTCTTAACCAATATCCTATCTTTATTAGCCTCCTCTGCTCTGTCCCTATTGTTATAGACCTTGAAGGCCTCCTCCACCAAGGTTGACAGTGGGGTCTGGGGTCCTGCCTCCAATTTTTGTAACTTCCTTCTAATGTCCGAGACGGACCAGATAATGAAGTGCATGGCAAGCAAAGCTCTTTCCTCTGCCAACTCTGGGTCAGAGTTGGTATATTTTCTAAAAGCCTCCATTATTCAACTTAGGAAAACCACTGGGTTCTTGTCTCTTTTCTGAGTAACTTCCCTCACCTGATTATAATTTCCAGGCTTTATTATACACTTTTTCATCCCTTCTGCCAAGCAGGTAACATAGTGTCCCATACTAGCCCCGTCAACAGTTCCTCATAAGCCCAGTGAGGATCTTGCCCAGGGACTGCATCCTCTCTGCCTGAAAGACATAGTGGCATGGGGTTTGTGGCCATTAAACTGTCAGCATATTCTCTAGCCTTCATTTGTATGTGGTCCTTTTCCTCAGAGGTGCAACAGTGGGCCAAGATGACAGTAATGTCCTGTCAGGTTAGTGATAATGTCAGACTCAGTCTAACAAATTTGTTCCAGAATTTATCTGGATCTTCTCAAGGTATACCAAACTTTTCTTTGCACAGCCCAGATTCCCCACGGGAAAAGGAACATGTACCCTGGTAATTCCCCCATTCCGATCTGCTACCTCCCAGAGATGAAAACAACCCTGGGCTGTCAGTGAGGCAAAGGAGGTTGACAGCTTGGTACCTGATCATAATCCCATCTGAGACGGCACTGGGGGCACCATTCCCTTGGGGCCTTGGCAGGGAAAATGTGGGGGCCCAGGGGCAGAGGAAGACACAGGGATTGGGCTGCACTGGGGTAAGTTAGCTGAAAAAGGGGATCATTTAGCAAGCCTGGTTTGGATTCCTTGTGGGGCGAGGGTGGGGACGTCTAGAAATCGAGGCCACCCAGCAAGACTCTCTCAGCTTTGGATCTTGGCATAGTTTCATAATGGCCTACACATAGGGGATCTCCTCCATTTCCCTTCCCATTTACAAAACAGGTCGTACTGAAAGATGGTATTGTAGCTGAGGGAACCGAAGTTTTCAGGCCAAAGTTCTTGGTCCCCTAGCTCATATTGGGGCTAGGCAACGTTACAATAGAATATCAGCTTTTTCTTTTTAACACTATATAATTTGACTTGGTCTCAATTAGAAATGATACATCCCAAGGGGGAGTTCTTTGGGACATCATAGATGGCATTTCCCATGTTTAGGTCATTGATAAATCTTATGTCCTATAATCAGAGATCCTGAGGCTGGATGTAAACCTCAGGATGGATGGTCTATATGGGTATAAGACCATTCTAGATCCCAAATGGCACGTGAATAGAAACAACAGAGGAAGGAAAGACAGACAAGGGCAGAGAGGGAGGCAGATTCGAGGACCACTGGGACCGAACCTCAATAGTCCTTTTGATTTCCTCTACCTTACACCAAGACCAGGTCCTACTTATATCAAGACCGAATTCCCTCTCGACTGAGAAACAAGAGACAAGGTGTTTACAAGACAAATAAAGAGTGAGAAGACTGGCATTTCAGGCTGTAGAGGGCCCAAACCCACGTATGATTTAACCATTTTTCACACAGGCAGCAATGGGATCCTTCTGGTCTACAGGAGTGGTCAGAAATATGACAGAAGAGATTAGACAATTCTTCCCCAGCGTGGGAGCATAGGGTGGAAAAATCCTGAGGAGTATCAAACAAACTGACAAGACACTGGTTAGCCAGAATACCAAGGAAGGCTTCCTATTCCAGAATACCGAAGTTGGTGGAGAGGTGCAACCCGCCCACCACCTGAAAGGCCTCCAAGCCTACAAAGGGCTAGTGGGGAGGTGCATCCAGCTCATGACCCACCATGTTGATCAGGCTTGGGGAGCCCACCGTTTCAGTTCATCATTCACAGATGTCTATTCAGGTGGCTCTTACCAATGATACCAGGACAAAGAGAAAAGAAGGAGAGACAGAATAAAGGAAAGAAGAAAACATTGTCTGAGAGTATGCAAGGGGCGACCCCCGGCAGGCCAGAGGAAGACTCACTCATTGCAATGATGCTGAAACAAAGGTTCAGGTGGCCACTCATCAGCTGTGAAGGAATCGTGTCCAGCAGTCATGTCAGCCCCTCAGGGTCCCTTCTGGGGAAACGTCCTGGTGGGGTCCCTTCGTGGTAGATAAGAATGATACTGACCCTAGGATCTTAGGCTTTCTATGTAAAGGAAATTGACTAGATGCCAAACCAAAGTCTCAGACAAGATTTTACTGGGGGATTATGCATGAGCACAAGGGAGACAGCAGAGGAGAAGTGGTTCTCTATCTGGCTCCCTGAAGTGAGCCGTCCTGAGTCTTTTATGGGGTGAAGGGAGTGGACTGGTGTCATGATTCTCTACCTCCAGAGGCATTCTGCTTCCCTCTTCCTGATTGTGTCAACTGCGGGTGCAGTTGCCCCCTCATTGCGGTCCTTGCGCCTGCCCGATAGGTCTAGCATGGCAGAGTTGCTCACCACCGCCACCCCAAGAAGATCATTTAGCGGTCCTCTCCAGGCTTTGCGCACCTGCAGAGTCGGGGTTGATTGCATCGGGGAAGTTTTGTGGTTGGAAGGTAGCTTATCTCGACTCCCAAAATAGCTGAGCTGGGAGGTGCGGGATCTGGTGGCAAAGGGTGAGGGGCAGAGTCCCATCCCTATTCTGTCTCATTTGCATTAGGCGCTATGTTAAATGCTGCAGAGTTTCAATGGTGGATGAGAAAAAAGACCCTGTAATTATGGAACTTACCCTATAAAGTGAAGGCGTGTATTTATGAAACAGTCGTGGAAATAAGTATATGATTACAAACCATGTGACAGTGACATGGTAGAAAGAAGTTATGTAGCTTGCAGGAATAGGATTGAGAAGAGCAGTCAGCAAAATTTTCTCTGAGAAAGTAAAGATGGAGCTGAGATCTAAAGAATGATTAAGCATGAACCAAACAAAATGCAGGTAAAAGTAGGTTTCAGGGTTTTTTTATCTAGAGGAGAATTACTTGTTGGAGTCTCTGAAAGAGGACCAATTTGGTTGAAGCCCAAAGAGTAAGTAAAAACTGGAGATTGGAGAGGGAAACAAGAGCCAGAGCATGCAGATCTTAAAATGATTTAGGAATGTTTGTCTTTAGTATAAGATCAATGTGATGCCATTAACATGCCTAAAGGACTGTCACATTAACATGTGCCTTGTGAAAAGGTCACTGATTGCTTTACGGAGAATGAATTGTAAGGTAACAGAAGGACTCAAACATTGGACAGGTGAAAACAGTATAAGTCCTATATAATTTTGAAGGCAAAAAAGCTGCCGTAGTAGAAAGATCCCATTAGCACAATGGCTTAAAGAAAAGAGGTGGTTTCTATCTCACATAATGATATAGAGGTAGGTGCTGGTGGGCTGCCTCTCTTCCAACAGGTCATTCAGAGAACCAGTTTTTCTGAGTGTTGCAGTTTACCAGCCTGTGCCCCTAGTTTCTGTTCTCATTTGCTTAGTCACAGTGAGGCCATCTTCATGCTGTCATTTCAACCCATGGGTAGGGGGAGAAATGGGGGCAATGCAATTACCATTTATGCAAGTCTAGGATTAGCACACATCACTTCTGCTAACATCAGTTCATGGAAGCTAAGTGACATGACCACACAGGGACACTGGGAAATGTATGTGACCACATTGACATGTCCTTATGTATTATTAAAACTTGGAGGTCTCTGGTGCTAAAAAGATGTGGAAAGTGGGTAGTGAGGGATGAGTACTAGTCTATATACAGGGTAAGATGGAGGAATTTCCCTTAAACAGGAGGAGAAACATTTCATTTATTGTAACTACAGGAAGGAAGGAAAATTTGGTGCGATTATAGGTTTGGCAGAATAAAAGTTATTAAAATAATATGATAAAATCCATGATATTGCATGTCACATAGTAGGAGCTGAAGAAAGGAGAGCTAGTGATGATGATAATAACAATAGCAACATTACTAATAATATAATGATAATTACCATTTAAGAAAGGTGATTTCTTATTAAATTACTGGGTCTAGGAGTGGAAATCTTCTATAATGGGTGAGTGAATATTAAAACGTCTCTTTGGTAAGATTATAGATATTTCCTTCACTTATTTACATTTTTTATGTTTGAAATGCTCATTATTCTTGCATCTCCTGTTCCTTTTCCAGCTAGCAGAAGATTATGGTCCTGTGTTCACCGTGTATTTTGGCATGAAGCCCACTGTGGTGTTGCATGGATATGAAGCGGTGAAGGAAGCCCTGATTGACCAGCGTGAGGAGTTTTCTGGCAGAGGCAGTTTCCCAATGTTTGACAAAATGACCCAGGGATTAGGTATGCTTCCCTTTGAGGAATATGTGTGTGTGTAAGTTGCGGGGACTTCAAATAAGGTAAAGAATTGAGAAATTATAAGTATTTATGGAAATTTATGAAAACATCCTAATTGCCAAAGTTTTCTCTATAGGATCATTTCCATATTTAAAAATATGATGGTGGCACAACATCCCTATGAAACGTTAAATGCAATGAAAGCAAACCATTTACCCACTAATGTTCTATTTGTGATTAAGCCATGTTCATTTTAAATTGTAGCCAGTTAAGATAATGAAAATGAGACAGAAAGAAAAAAAAAGAAAGGCAAATGACCAACTTATCTTATTCACCAAACATTTTGCTTTCTGTCCTGAGCCATGGTTGCCAAAAGACTATTTTAGGAAGCTTGCATACATGGTATGCATGGAACCTCCACAGGTTTGGAATATTTCCAACCTTGCCTTCAATCTTCTATTCTTCTAAAAAAGCATAAGAAATATTTGAATCCTGTAGAATATAGAGCATAAAATACAAATACGCTCTGTAAAGAGGATCATGGAGAAATACATGGTAAGTATCTATTGGAATGGATATTAGATAAATCTTTTTAAATTAAGCACTTGAACTATCTTCCATTTGTTTTTGGAGCTGACCTTCAACTGTCCCGTCCTCTGGTGGGTCACTGGGTTCCTGCAAAAAGAGATGAAGTCTGAGTGGGGTCATTTCCTCCTCTACATTGTTCTTTAAGATCTTTTCAGACAATTCTCTTATGAGTGCTTTTTTTACCTTGATCTTGTCTTGGCTCTGGACGCCTGATATTGAACTTCCTTGGTGTTAAGACCATATTTTATGGAAGAGATTCAAAACATAGAGGAGGATATTAAAATGAGAAGGGCTGTAGCTTTGCCCCTTCTCTGAAGAATAGATTTTCATGCCACTTCCTTCCAATGCACAAGTGCTATCTCTCTTTCTCTTGATAGTTGACTCCGTTTGTTCGTTCTACTGCACTTCACTTATAATGCACAAAAGTCTGACCTGAAAATTTAACCTATTGGTTAAGAGAGGATGCAGGTAAAGAAGGGCTCAGTAGGAACTCTTGAGGCTGGCACCACTATGTTTACATCCCTGCTTAAGTGTGATTATTTCCTGAGATAAAGATTCTCAGGTAGAATTCTTGGTGATGGAAGTTATTCTTCTATATTTTTTTCTCCTGACAGGAATAGTTTTCAGCAGTGGAGAAATATGGAAGAAAACCCGGCGTTTCACCCTCATGGTTTTACGGAATATGGGGGTGGGGAAGAAGACTGTTGAAGACAGAATTCAAGAGGAAGCCTTGTGTCTGGTGGAAGCATTAAAAAAAACCAATGGTGTGTATTTCTTCATGTAATTAACAGTAATAATTTGGGTAGACTAAATGCTATTACAAGTAAACTACAGAGAGATATGATGGCTCAAGTACAACAGAAGTTTACTTTTTGCTCACGTAACAGTAGTAAGAGGTGAAGTGGGAAAAACCCCTTTTTCAGGCACCAGGTTGATAAGGGCTTTGATGTGTAACATATGGCATCCAGTGTCTCCCAGGATTTGTTTCTTTGCATGGTAGCGGAGGAGCAAAGAACAAGGAAAAGAGCAAATAGTGCTTTTAATAGGCCAGGCATGGCAGTGGCTCACAAAACTTCTTTCACCTTCCATGAGCTGTAACTCAGTCACAGGGCCACACCTAACTGTAAGAGGAGATGGGAACTGTGCTTATCTGTGTGCACAGGAGGAAGATGTGAACATGGATTTTGGTCACCAGCTAGTAGGTTTGGCCACAGTAGTTTGAAAAACTAAGTAATTTCTCTAGTGACTTTTTGAGAAACATCGCAAGCATTTCACAATATACGCTGAGTCATTGTGCTGTGCCCCTTAAACTTATGCAGCAGTGCGTTTCAATTATATCTCAACAAAACTTGGGAGAAAAAGCATTGGTGCTTCAGTGGAAGAATTCACACCAAGGGCATACGGATGTATTACAGCTCACTTGGATGAGAATGTGTGTGAGGCAGGGAGCTACAGTAGCACAAATGTTCTCAGTGTGTATATGCACAGGCAGGACTGGGAGGTGGGTGGAGAAGAAAGGGGTGGGCAGAAGACTTGGCAGAGAAGGTATGAGATCTGGAGCATAAGATATGTATGGTTTTTTAACCTCAATATTTAAAAATTTTTAAGAACATAATTGACTTAATAATACTATACTCTATATGGTTAATTGTATTTTTTAACTAATGTTATATTATTGTCTAGATAGGTTGATTTGCTTTTTTATGATATTAATATTAAAAAATGCCATTATTACCAATATTTGCATGATTTTGGTTTCTCCCTTAGAATAAATTTCTGGAAATGGCAGTAGAGTATCAATGAACATCGTGTGTACTTTTGATGCATATTATCTAGGATTGGGTGGGCGAACTGGCAAAGAAGAGATAAGAACACAAGGCTTATACTGGGTATTTTGTTTCATAACCTTATGTTCAAATTTAATATATTAAATAAATATTTCCACATGTTTAGTTTTTAAATGTTTGTCAAGTACATTACTAATGAAATAGTACAGTATTCCATTGTTTTGCATGTACCATAGTTTATTTGACCAGTCTTTCATTTTCGGTGAGATCGACTGTTTTCAGTTCTTTGTTGCTTTAACATAAAAAATACAATTCGTATTAATAACTACATATCTCTCAGTAGTTTCTTAGAATAAAATTTGGGAAAAGAGTTAGTAAGTAAAAAATATTGGATTGATACATATAATCTGGGAAATGATTTTATGCACTTAATTTGTATTTCAAGCAGAACTTATTATGAACTGATTCTTCTTTTCCCATAGTGAATATGACCTTTTCTCAGCTCCTGACCTATGATCACCCAGACTTGGCTTGATTCCGCCTAGCTATGGGGACCTCACATTCTTGGGGTAACCCATTCCATTACTGGATAACTCTAACTGTTGGAAGTTTCTTCCACATGTTGAGAAGAACCTTTTTTCTTTGTAATATTTACTTTTTGATCCCTGCTAAGTTTATTCCTTTTGCAATTATTGTGTTGTAGTGGTCCTCTCACAGAGGCTGGATGGTGCCACACACACCCCAATCAGATATGAAAAAGTTTATTACTCACATAACGAGGCTTTCTGTGAAGCATAGGGTTGCTCCTAAGCAGATCCAAAGACAACTTGAGAGAGCAGGGAAAGGATACTGGCTTGAGGTTTTCATGGTGGTTAGGGGGTGGGGTGGAGGTGAGTGTTCCCATGTACAGGCCAGGGCTGAGTGGTTCAAACTTCCTGCTTGTGCCAAAGGAGGGAGCACTTGAGCTTTTTTATCAGCTTGTGCAGATATGAGCAGAAGAAAAGGGGAGGTTTAAAAGCAGTCAGCAGCCAAACACCAAAAAATGGAGTCATATTCCTTATTACATTTAGGAAGCCTGTTTCCAACATTATAACATGTTTTTTCAATTATCTGAGTGTAACTCCGATTTCTCTCATTATTGTTCTCTTCTTCAAGGAGAGCACATCGGACTTTTTTCAACTGTTTTGTAAAATATGATTTCAAGTCTCCTGGTTTTTTTATTATGTTGCTCAGTGTCCTGTGGGCATCATGAGAAAGTATCCACAATGAGAGCTCAATTACAATTTAAAGTTATTTTTAAATGACCTCCTTATTGCGAATTACTTTGTGGCTCTTATTTGGAAGATGATGTAAATAGGAGAATACTTGGGGGAAATTAATAAATAAATTGGACTGGACTAGATAGTTTTGTTTGAAGAAACAGAATAAATTTTATTTTAGGTATGTTGAGTTGATAGTAGTGATGGCATGTCCAGATAGTTCTTATACTAAAAAATCTTAGAAGTCTACATTTTTCAATTATTTTAAACAGTCAACTATAGATTTATATGAAAATTTTGCTTTAACTTTTAACTTCTGTTGTTTTTAGCATCTCCCTGTGATCCGACTTTCCTTCTGGCCTGTGCTCCTTGCAATGTGATGTGCTCCATTATTTTCCAGAGTCGTTTTGAGTACAGCGATGAGAAATTGCTAACCATGATAAATTATATTCATGAAAACCTCAGAATTTCAAGCACTTCCTGGATACAGGTAACATCAAGTTTCTCTTTACTTTATTATTATTATTAATATTATTATAATTTTTTGTGAGGAAGATCAGCCCTGAGCTAACATCCATGCCAATCCTCCTCTTTTTTGCTGAGGAAGACTGGCCCTGAGCTAACATCTATTGCCAATCCTCCTCCTTTTTTCCCCTTTTTCTCCTCAAAGCCCCAGTAGATAGTTGTATGTCGTAGTTGCACATCCTGCTAGTTGCTGTATGTGGGCTGCCGCCTCAGCATGGCTGGACAAGCGCTGCGTCGGTGCGCGCTCGGAATCCGAACCCAGGCCGCCAGTAGTGGAGCACGCGCACATAACCACTAAGCCACGGGGCCGGCCCCTCAATTTTCTCTTTAAATGAAAAGCAATTTTCTAGCTAATCTATTGTTCATGCCTACCCCATCCCTTTGCCCTATTTCAAAATGGCTAAAGTAATGCTTATCAAACTATCATTTGTAATCAATTAGTGAGTTATCAAACCAATTTAATGTGTTAAAGTGAAATTTAAAACATGAAATATAGTAATAGTAAGAAAAATACTGTCATAATGCATCAATTGAGCAAGGTATATTCCCTAGAAACTTTTTCTGATTTTTATGTCTAGACATGAGGAGGATGGTGATGTAAAATGTATTTCTTACTATAGTACCCTGTCAGAGAATGTTAGTAAGGTACATTGCGCAATCATTAATAACTAAAATTCTATATGGATTATAAAGTTATGATGTGTTCTACCTGGGAAGGACCCTAGAAAACAAATAGCCTGCTTCTCATTTTTTCAAACAGGAAAATGTCACCAAGCGATATTAACATATTTTCCAAAGTAGCCTAGCCAAGACAAGGAATGAGCTAGACCCAGAATCTAAATGTCTCCTCTCTGTCTAGTTTCATAGAAGCTACCTGAATAAATTGCTTCAGTGTCTACAAACGGTATTAAGTCATAAAGGTAGTGTCTAAAGCAGAGTCAGTAAACTCTAGGATCGGAAATGGCCAGATGAATAAGGGCAATGTGTACTTTCCCGAAGGTGTAAAATGTAAAAGGACATTGGGGATGTCCTTAATCTTGCTGATGCCGTTTCTTCATTACAAAAAACGGATGGAGCCTTGCAAGCTTTTTAGGTGACTGTAGAAATATGTGTAGGTTAAACTGGGATGAACACTAGCTCTATCATAGTTTAATATTTTAGACTGGTTGACTAACACGTCTGAAACTCCATCTCCTCATTTGGAAAGAGGTGATATGCTGCTTAATTTCTTCAGAGAGCTATGGTTAGGAAATGAAGTTAAATGGCTTTGAAATTGCCTTGTAACCTGTGCATACTGCAACTCTGGCCATTTTATCACTTCCTTCGCCTTCAAATTCCAAGTATGTTCTAGTGAAGGAAGCTTGTCTTATTCATCTTATCTACTCAGCGTATAGCAAAGGATCTGATATGTAATATGGGCCTGTAAAAGTTTGCCAAATGAATTAATAAATAATTATTTCCTCTTCAGCTCTACAACGCTTTCCCTTTTTTAATACATTATCTCCCAGGAAGTCATAATACATTATTTAAAAATGTTGCTAACCAAGAAAAGTTTATTTTGGAGAAAATAAGAGAACATCAAGAATCCCTGGACCTCAATAACCCTCGAGACTTTATTGACTACTTCCTGATTAAAATGGAAAAGGTATCATGTGACACTGATTTGCTACTTCATCTTGGTGGGTGATGTGATTCCTAGATTATTTTTGTTCTTCCCAGTGAAATTAGGATATTAAAACAAATACCCCTTCCTAAAGATGTATTAATTGCTTGTGCAGCCTATTGCTTGTGAAAACCTTATTGGGTGTCTTGATATATTTCTAGATTCTCACTGACAGTAACTTAGAAGGTTTTATATTTACCATCTTAAAGATGGTTCTTTATTTGGAGGCAGATTGAAGTACACATACAGACAAACACACACATTCAAAATTAATGATAGACAACATATTATCCTTCATAAAATAAGTACAGTGAATGGGAGATGTAACAAATGAGGGAACGCAGGAATGGATAGACATCTAGAAAGACCCTTGGAAAGACACTAGGAAATTCTCACAGTTGAGGTAGATTTTGAGGGACTCTGCCTTAGATCAACAGAGATGCCAAATAGGTCCAGGGAATGATAAGTGCAGTGATCAAGTGCGTAGAATTTTCAAAGAGATTGCCTTGATTGTAATTGAGGAAATGTCCTGAGTGTAATGACTAATGAGGTTGGGAATAGTGATGCGGTTTGGGGATGGGTGGTTCTGGAGGCTTGAATGAGAAATTTAAACATGGTAAAACAGACAGTGGATGCTAGAATTGACAATGAGCAGCATTGATGACTTGATAAAAATAATGTTTGAAAGAAATTATAGCAAAACTGATTGGCTCTGGTGGGTGAGAAAGTGAGGAATCAAAGAACTTGTTGGAAGTTTGTAACTGATTGAAAGGATCCTAACAACTCATTTAACTTTAACTTCAGCTACAGCACTCTCTCATGTATGGGTTTAATTTGCCAAATAAGCAAATTGAGCAAATGATGATGTTATATTGAGTTTTTTTATGTTATCTCTGAGGCTTTTTTATTTATCACGTGATTCTAACACGTTGTTGCTAGGAAAAACACAATAAACAGTCTGAATTTACCATGGACAACTTGATCACTACCATATGGGACGTGTTTAGCGCGGGGATAGACACAATGAGCACCACCCTGAGATATGGACTCCTGCTCCTGCTGAAGCATCCTGAGGTCACAGGTATGATCACAGATGATGGGCAGGATGAAATTCCAGTTAGAAGTTGTCAGGCAACACTGGTGACGATCCCGCTCTTTACTTGCCTAGGCAATGTACAAGAAAATTTTCCATCATTAGTACATCTTCCTATCATTGGATTAATTAAATTCAAATTAAATTGTAGTACAAAAAGAGAATGAAATATTTAAACAGCAGCAGAGATTTGAAGGGCAGTGGTCACTGTTCTCCCTTTTAAGTTGGAGTCTTCTCGATTTGGGTTGGGCCAGATGCAGTAAGCAGAGTTGTCTTAGGATCTGGAAAGAATTAACCTTCTTTCTTTAAAAAGATATCATTTGATATGCTTTCCATGTGCAGATAAATGTATTTCTGTGAAAAGATATTCCTACTGAAATGCATTTGCAATGTAAGGATTGACTCAAGAAAATGGCAATCTTTCTCTATATAAGGGACCCACTCTCCAAATAAAAGAAGTTATACACAAACAAAAAATTATTTTTAATATACCAATTTGGGCAAACAAATGTTTACTCACAAACATAATTTCTCTTGCAAATGCAACATTTCCATTTTTCCTCCTCTTTTTCTTTTTGAGTACTCATCTAAGAGTATATTTCCTTCACTGCTGTATCTGGTACATTAAGACACTTTTAGTACAATTAAACCTCACAAAGCTTATCTCCATGACATCAGCACCAGAGTTCTCTACCTCGTTGAAGATCCTTCTCCAACCATTCTAAATAGGAGATGCTTTCCAAATGGTACAGCTTAGAATCATAGCATCAAAATTCTTTTTCTCACATATTTTGTAAGATGTGATGGTGCTGTATTTCTTTCATGTAAGACTCTTTCAGCCGAATAATTTCACTAACACTTATGAGACCTATGTTGATTATGATTATAAACAGCATATGACATATTTCTCCAAACCTTTAAATCTTGTATACATTGCAAATGCCCTACTTGTGTCATATTTCCCCATGCTTCATTTTCCATTTGGATTTTTTCTTTCACCATATCCATTTATATTTTCCTTTTCTTTCTTCTCATCTTCATCTCTTACCATGTTGTTCTACTGAGCATTCTGATTTTATAAGTAGCTCCTAACCACTTTATATAACCAGTCTCTTCTAAATAAAACTCCATCCTCTCACCTGAGAAGGTGGAGTTTAAAACTTCTCTGAAATCCCTAAAATTTTCTTCTTTATAGCTATCAAACCACAGAATTTTCACGTGCTCCATTAGAGAGACACATTCTTCAGGTAGTAGATAAATACCATTTGACCATAGTAGCAACACGGTACTGGAAAAAGTGGTTTATAGATTCTAGCAACAGGCTTCAGAGTCTGACCCTACCAGTAAGTAGCAGTGTGACCTCAGACTCATGACTACCTGTAACTTATCTTGGTCCCTCATCTATTTAAGTGAGATAATAATACTTCCTAACATTCATAGAGTTTTCTCTCATAGCAAAAAGTTAATAGTGTTTGTTTTAACTAATGTTTGTTTTAACTAATGAATAGTCGTACTTAAACTATACATTATTAATAGGATATACTTTGCAGATAAAAGAACAATATAATTTGCTAACACAAATTACTTGCAGTAATCTTATTCAATATCTAAGATTGTGGGTTCGAGAATGAGAAAGACCACATAATACCTGGATTTCTTTAAGAAATATACTTACTTTTCCAAACCTATTTCCTTCTTTTTAAGATGCACAAAATAATACCCAACATGTAGAACTACTTTGAGGATATGGAAAGTAATGTAACAAATAGTGCATCATGCCTGTCATATTTTGCATTCTAAATAAATGTTAACTATGTCTTGTTACTATGTACTGAGTGTTCTAAACATCTTATTCAATTGCTATATTTACGAAGCATTTACTGCACTGTGTAGTCCTTGCTTTCTTGGAACTTACATACTTAAAACAAAAACCGGCATATACAAAGTGGTTCAACTACGTTGTCTGTAGTGAGCCTTCAAGATCTCAGATCCTTCATTCTGTCAAACAAAAGTGTACAAAATAGAAAATCAGAGTTGAGAATGAATTTCATCGTACAATTGTGTTTTATATGTGCATATATTTAGGTCTCTAATGAGATTCCAATTTGCCCAGGAAACTGCAATTCTGTTTCTTTTTTTCTTATGGAGGTAGCCATACATAGTTTTCCCTTTTCCCCATCTCCCACCTAAATGTAACCATGATTAAGAAGATCAAATTAAAAATCTTTTCTATTTCACGTGAATTCTGATTCCTACCTTGCCAGCAAAAGTCCGGGAAGAGATTGACCGTGTGGTTGGCAAACACCGAAGCCCATGCATGCAGGACAGGAGCCATATGCCCTATACGGATGCTGTGGTTCACGAGATCCAGAGATACATTGACCTCATCCCCAACAGTCTGCCCCATGCAGTGACTCAGGACGTTAAGTTCAGAGAATACCTTATTCCCAAGGTGAGTGATATTTCATCTATACTCCTTCTTAGGAATCTTAGATTATCAGCTATCACTGTTGTAGAATTACAGATTGCGTAACCTTCTACAGGTCTTGCACAATCATAACTCAGGCATCTCCTCTTCGGACCACATGCTCCATTCCTTCTCGTTTGTTGGTACAATTTTATAAATATAATATTTCTTACAGTCCCACAGGAGTCTCCGGACATTGATAGCGCCACACTCTGCCTGTCCGTTAGCCCAATCTGCTATCCACTTCCCTGTCTTCCAGTGTATGTTTTATTACTCTTACCAGTTAACTAGTATCATATAACCCCCGCTTCCCCAACTATCCATTTCACTTACTTGTTGAAAGTCCAAACCACCCATTTCCTTCCTTCCTATCTGCCCTTGAGCTACTGATCCTTTCTGGAAAGGACCATACAGCCCAGCAGGTTGGTATTATCACCAATCCCAGATGTATCCTCAATCCTACCCAAAAATCCTGATTTATAACCTAACTCAGCTTGCTCCACCATGCTTGACAATGACTCTTTCAACCCTGAATTCTCCCCTTCCAATTCTTCACTATGCTTTTTTTCTTAGGTGACCTGGCCTTCCATCTGACAGAGAAAATTAGAAACAATGGAAGGGTTCAGTTCCCTTCCACTAGATTTACAAATTTGCTACGTCTCCACACTTTGATTTCTCTTTCGTGCCTTTGTTTTGGAGAAGGGCTCTCTTTTTATCTAAAGTAAATCTTTCTGCCTGTGGCATGGATCTCTTTCCTCTCAATTTTTCTGGGATTCTCCTCAAATAAGCATTTCTTCCTTTTTCTTTATCTTTATTTTCTCCCTCCCTACTGGCCTCTTTCCACTAGCATTCAGACATGCTCAATTCTATTACATCTAAAAAAAAAAAATACCTCTCCAAATCTCTTGACCTCTCTGTTCAATCCTGTCTTATCCATACCCTCAGGTTTAAAATTCTGGTAGAAGGTGATTATAGTCATGTAAACATTTCCTAGTCAATCTCTTATTCATAAACCCATTGAAATGTATCATTCTAGTGATACATTTTCATCAAAGCCATCAATGACCTCCATATTATGAAATCCAATGAATGTTTCCAAGATTAATTTTACTTGGCCTCATGGCAGCATTAAGTAACCTTAAGAATGTCTTCCACATGGATATACTCACTTCCCACTTCAGTGATGTGACAATCTCCTAGTTTTCCTCCTATTGCTCTGCGTATTTGTTCCCCATATTCTCTGCTCTCTCTCCCTCCTTCCATCTAAATGTTGATGTTCCTCAGGGTTCTATTGTTGCCCTCTAGTCTTTTCAGTTTGTATGCTTTTCTTCAGAATGATTCCTCCACTCCCAAGGTTGAAGTTTGGGTTGAGATTGTGAGTTATCAGTCTGTTTTCTACAGTACCTGGATCTTGAAAGTCAGTGTTCTTGAATAAGAACCTCCCTAATCCAGGTTTATCTCTGGATGGACTGGAGAATTATAGGTCATCTGTCTTTTTTTTTTTTTTTTTTTTTGGTATTTTACAGTTTTCAAAGTGCTTTCAATTATCTATAATCCAGGTTACAGTCCTCCACTTCCAGTGACCCTACCTGTGCTTCTGCCTGAATGTTACCAGCTCAATTCAGGTTTCAGGGCAACTTTTTCCTCCCATGGATCCCATCATACAAAAGTGTCTACGAGCAATGTGGCTTCACTGAAGAGTGTGGATGTTAGAACTTTAATTAGCACATTTCAATGCAAAAACTTAAAAATTGCGTACTAAGCACTTAAAGTGCCTAATAGATTTGTCTATAGGTCTCACTGTGAAATTCTGCCTCATGTTTGGCAAATTTGTTACTGGATGCATACATTTTGCCCTGTAATGTCACTTTGATTAATTGATCCCTTTATCATTATGAAGTACCCCTTTTAATCTCTAGTAATACTTTTTTTCCTGAAGTCTAATTTGTCTGCCATTAATGAAGACATACCAACTTGCTTATGGTTAAAGCATGCATGGTAAATCATTTTCTATCTTTTAATTTCAACTTGTAATTTTTAACGACATATAGTTGCTTCTTTCCTTTTTATCAAGTCTGATAGTCTTTAATTATGAGACTGTTTTAATTGGGAAGTTTCTTTCATCTACATTTACCTTAAATTTCTATATATTTGTATTGTCTATCATCCTGGCATTTGATTCTTATTTGTGATTTCTTTTTATATTTATCCTTTCCTGACTGACTTGATCAATTGTTTGGTACCGTTTCATTTTATCTCCTCTGATGACTTTATATTTATGCCTCTTGACATTTTACTTCTGCTTCATTTTGTGTTGCTATTCTTTTTTTTTTTTTTTTGGTGGTTGACTTTGAGATTACAATATGTATTTTTAACTTGTCACTGTATCTGCTAAAAGTATCTTATTACTACACGGAAAATTTGAGATTTACAGGAATATATTTCCACTTACACGCTTGCACCATTTGTGCTCTTGTTGTCATATGTTTTAGTTCTGTATGTTACTATTTTTACTCTGAAAAGCCAATAGTTTTAAGGATACTTAAACATATATATGTGTAGAAATAGAAATAATTTTTAAAACTTTTAAAAACTATTTTGACCTACTAGTGCATTCTGATGTTCTTTATTCTTTCTTGAATTTGTTGTCTATCTGATGTCATTTCCCTTTATTTCTAGAACAGGTAGCATTTGTTGAATTCTAGGTTTGTTGGATAAAAGTGTTTTAACTTCTGTCTGTCTAAGAATACCTTAATATTAGCTCACTCATTTGTAATTTTCTTTTTTTGTAATGTTTTTTCAGGTTTTGGTGTTATAATTATGCTGGCTTTAAAAATACCTTGAGAAATATTTTATTCCTCTCTCTATTTTTTTCTTTTATTTTTCCAGCTTTATTGAGATAAAATTCTCATATAACATTTTGTAAGTTTAAAGTGTACACTGTGATGATTTCATACACATATATATTATGAAATGATTAGCATAAGATTAGTTAATACATGCCTTATCTCACATAATTACCTTTTTTTGTGGTAGAACATTTAATATTTACTCTCTTAGCAACTTTGAGGTATATAATACACTGTTGTTAATTATAGTCACTATGCTATATATCAGATCCCCAGAACTCATTCATCTTTTAACAGGAAGTTTGTACCTTTGGCCAATATGTCCTCATTTCCCCCAACCCCAGACCTGGTAAGGACCATTCTTCTCTTTGCTTCTATGAGTTCAGCAGTTTTAAAATTCCACACATAAGTAATATTATACAATATTTGTCTTTCTCTGTCTGACTTATTTCACTTATCGTAATGCCCTGAAGTTTCATTCATGATGTTGCAAATAGCAGGATTTATTTCTTTTTTATGGCTGAAGAATATTTCACTGTATATATATATGCCATATTTTCTTTATCCATTCATCTGCCAACAGACACTTAGATTACTTCCATGTCTTTGCTATTGTAAATAATCCTGCAGTGAACACGGGAGTGAAGATATCTCTTTGAGACACTGACTTTGTTTCCTTCCTATATATGCCCAGAAGTGGAATTGCTGGATCATATAGTAGTTCTATTTTAAACTTTTCAAGGAACCTCCATACTATTTTCCATAGTGGCTGCACCAATTTACATTCCCACCAAAAGTACACAAGGATTTTTCTTTTATCCTTATCCATGCCAATACTTGTTATCTCATCTTTTGGTAAGAGCCATTCTAATAGGTGTGGGGTGATACCTCATTGTGGTTTTGATTTGCATTTCCCTGATGCTTAGTGATGTTGAGCACCTTTTCATGTACCTGTTGCCCATTTGTTTGTCCTTTTTGGAAAAATGTCTATTCAGAGCCTCTGTTTGTTTTTTAATCATTTTTTTTCTTCTATTGAGTTGTGTGAGTTCTTTATATATTTTGGATATTAACTCCTTATCAGAAATATGATTTGCAAATATTTTCTTGCATTCAGTAGGTTGCCTTTTCATTCTGTTGATGGTTTCCTTTGGTGTACAGAAGTTTTTCAGTTTGATGTAGTTCTACTTTCTTTCAGTTTCATTGCCTCCTGTTTGGTGTAAATTCCAAAAAAAAAATCATTGCCAAGAGTGACGTCAAAGAGCTTATCCCCATTGTCTAGATCTAATGTTCAAGTCTTTAATCCATTTTGAACTGATTATGTGTGTGGTGTAAGATCGTGGTCCAGTTTCATTCTTTTCTGTGTGTCTGTCCCGTTTTCCAAATGCCAGTTATTGAAGAGGCTATCCTTTCGCTGTTGTGTATCCTTGGCTCCTTTGTTGTAAACTAATTGACATATATGCTTGGGTTTATTTCCGGGCTCTCTATTATGTTTCATTGATCTATGTGTCTGTTTCTATGTCATTTACTACACTGTTTTAATGACTGTAGCTTTGTAATATAGTTTGAAATCAGGAAGCATGATGTTTCTAGTTTTGTCCTTCTTTCTTAATATTGCTTTGGCTTTTCAGAATATTTTATGGTTCCACACAAATTTTAGGATATTTTCTTCTATTTCTGTGAAAAATGCCATTGGCATCTTGATAGGGATGCATTGGCGTTGATATAGATACTTTAACAATATTATTTCTTCCTATCTGTGAGCACAGATTATTTTTCCATTTATTCAATTTCTTCATCAATGTGTTATATTTTTCAGTGTGCAGTTCTTTCACCTCATTGATTAAATTTATTCCTAGGTAACTTATTCTTTTTGATGCCATCGTAAATGTGATTATTTTCTAATTTCTATTTCTGATAGTTCCTGATTAGTGTGTAGAAACGTGACAGATATTTGAATGCGGATTTTTGTATCGTGGAATTTTGCTGAATTCATGTATTAGTTCTAACAGTTTTGGTGGGGTCTTTAGGGTTTTCTATCTATAATATGTTATCTGCAACTAGTGATTGTTTTATTTCTTCTTTACTGATTTGAATACCTTTATTTCTTTTTCTTGCTATATTGTTTTGGCTAAGACT